GTTTTTTACATTATATAAGATTACATAATACAAAATACACAACTTATTCTAATGTTTGTTAGAAAAGATGAGACTCGGACTAACTCATGAGAGATGGGCCCACAACCTACCGCCTGGTATCAAAATTGTTATTATATAAATGTTGAAAAAGATTAATTGAAAAAAAAAAATTATCCATATAAATATTAAAAGATTTATTTGGAAGTAGCTAGGAGGCAAGCCAAAAAATCTCATTTATAGCTTTATTTAAATTTTGAATATATTCTAATTCTGAATGTAAAAATAAAAGTATAGGCACAATCAGCATCATATAAAGAAAGAATTTTATAACTTTCAGGAGTAGGTTTGTTTTTGATTTTTACTGTATAGGCACTGGATCCAAAAAATCGAACAATTATTTCATCAACAGAGATATTAAAAATGAAATATAAATTGATTTTGAAACTTTTCAAATATGACTTGTCAAAAGTTCTAACTTAGAGTATTAATATGGAGGTGAAATAGTACAATCTGAAATGTGTATAAAACATTTAATCTAATTTTTAAAATTTAAGTTAATATTAATAAATTAAATAAAAAATATTTATTACAAAATTAAAATAACTTACTTGTTCAAATCAAATTAATGTCATAAAATTTGTTATTTATGTTCAGGAAATTGTTCATTTTTATTTCAATAATCACAAACACTAGATAATTTAAAAATACCTGGATAAATTAATATTGCAATTCAAATTTTTAATTTACTTATTGTTAATTCTTCCCATTTACATCCTTCTTCTGTTTCTTTTAAGTAAGTATATTTATTTGTATTTAAAACAATTGTATTTGATTGTTCTAAAGAAAAAAAAAAAGACTAAAAATTAAATATGGAGATAATAAAAAAGATTAATATTCATTTGACAAATTTGGTGTAAATTTATATAAATGTCTAGAATGTTGAAAATAATTAAAAAAAGGAGGGGAGGAAGTTGTATAGAATCTTGAATTTCATTTTGATTATGATCACAACTTTGATCTTGACCTTGACCGTGGTCTCAACCATAGCCACAACCTCAACTATGATTATGACCTCTTTCACTTTGAATAATTTCTTTTTGTATCTCATTATTTCCTTCATTTTCAGAAAAATTTTCCTCAAAATTTTTGTGAAATAATTGTATAATATATATGTTTTCATCATCTTGATTATCAAAAATCAAAGTTTCCATTATAAAAAGTAATAAAAATAATATTATTTTATTAAAAAAATTAAAATTTACTTGAATATTGTTATGTGCAAAAAAAAGATAAAAAATGTTTTGAAGGCTAATTTTGGATTTTTTTTTGATTTAAAATTTATCAAATAATTAGTTAAATATGGCAATAAAATAATATTATTTGTATTATTTGTATAAATTAATAAAATAATTATATAATATTATAAAAAATTATCAAATGATTTACATTAACTTTAGAAATTGTAGGCAAATTTGCCTACAAAACTGTTTAAAGAATAATTAGATCAAAGGTCTATATTCTTATTAAATAATATATAAATAATATAAATAATAAAACTTATTTCAGTAATTTATCAAATCCTTCAGCAATACTATTCTTTGCCTACAATAATAATAATAATAATAATAAAATTATAAATTCAAAATTCACAATTAATATATATACACATTATAAATTAAAAACAACCAACCTCTTTAGAAATAGGATTATTAGAAGTTAAATATCCCATAAATAAATTCTTGGCTATCCATAAATTCTCTATTGTTCCATAATATTTTCCCTATTTAAAATAAATAAAATAAAAAAATTAATAAAATAAATAAATAAGTAAATAAAAAATTAAAATCAAAATATGTTTTACTTCATATTCCATTCTTAAATTCCCATCTTTTTGTTTAGTCAAAATCATTGAAGTTCCAGCTTTAATTGAAGTTTTTGGAAATTTTGATTTAAATTCTTTAATAGCTTCTAATATTTGCTACAAGAAATAAAATTAATAAAAATTTAATAAAAATAATAATAGATAATAATAATAATGATAAGAATAGATAATTGATTAATTAATTCAATATAATATTATTTAATATTTACTTCAATTTCAAACTCATTTAAATGATGTTCATTTTGTAATCTATTTGTAAGAGTGCGAGTAAATCCATCTCTAAGATGTTGTCCATTGGTATTTCTTACAGGTTCTATATAAACAAGAGACAATTAGAATAATTTCAATAATTTCATCATAATTTTTCACAATTATAACTTTTACCTATTCTAAGTGCAATAACCACAGGTTGACTTAATAATTCATAAGCTAATGAATTGTTATCATTATTGTTATCATTATTATTGTTGTTATTATTATTATCAGTTGATAAAAATTTTTCTTTATTCCATCTCTAGAATATAATAAAATAAAATAAAATAATGGACAATAATATAATAAAGAAAAAATAAATTATTATAGAAATATAAATATCTTTATTTTTAGATAAAATATATATATATATATATATATAAAATAAATACCAACATTCCAATTTCTTAATAATTCTATATCATCTTTAGAAATATACATTCCAATAATATAAACTTTCAATTTTAAAAATGATACAGTTCTTATTCCTAATCCAACAAGTCTTGCTCTTGTTTCATTATATAATGTTATATAATTTGGTATTTTAATTTTGCTTTCTGGTTCCTCTATTAAAAATAATTATAATAAAAAATAATTATAAAAAAAAAAATTAATTATAAAAAATAATAATTATAAAAATAATAATAATATCAGATATATTATTATATAAATATCAGTTCGCAAAATTTACCTGTGGTTTCTTCATAATTTGGAGGAGAATAATTTGATGATTCTTCTAATAAAATGAATTTATTTTTATTCTTATAAATTTCCGCTGCTGTCACTGCTGTAGTACTACCAACTAAAATGAATGTAAATAATAATAATTTGGAATTATTATTTGACTTAAAATAAAAAATTTATTATTATTATTATTATTATTATTATTAAATAAATATTATTATTATTATTATTATTATTTGTTATTTACATTAAATTTTCCAAAGTCTTTCAAGTTTCCTTTATGATTTTTATAACTTTTATGATGATGAAATAAAGAAAAGGGTGATGATGATTGTTTAGGAATAATAATATTTGAATTTACTCGGGGAATTCTAGAAAATTTAAAAATTATCCTGGGAATTCTTCGAGGTATAAACATTTTTTTATAGTTATAATAAAAATTTCCACTTTTTTTTTTGATGATGATAATTGTAATAATGATTACGATGATGATTTGATTGGTTAAAATATAAAAATGATAAATAAATGTATATGCAATGTACACTCAAAATCACTTTGAAATTCGAGTAAAGGAAAAGGTGAGGAAAGAATTCTTTCTCATTTTTTTTTTTTAATAATATTATTACAATTATTATTATTATTATTGAAAATATGGCTGACTATGAACCGGTTAGCACTTCTTCACCCGATTCATTCACTTTTGATATGAATAAAAGAAATAATAATAATAATAGACGTGATGCAAAATTTAATTATTTAATTGTATTTTTTTTTCTTGCAATTGGAATTACAATTTGGTCAATGATTCCTTCGATATTATATTTACTTAATGGATCAGAAGATCCATATTTACAAAAACCTATTGAAACCGAGTCAACAACGATTACCTCCTTATCAATACCTGCAACAACAACAACAACATCAACACCAACACCGACGCCAACATCGATACCATCACAAAAAGAAATGACTAAACCTAAAATTGTTGGATATTTTACTGCATGGTCAATTTATGCTAGAAGTTTTAATGTTTCTGATATTGATGCAACCAAACTGACACATATAAATTATGCATTCTTTAATTTGGATTCTAATGGTAAAGTTTTTTCTGGTGATAATTGGGCAGATACCGATAAACATTTTGAAGGTGATTCATGGAATGAGGAAGGAAATAATTTATATGGAAATTTAAAACAATTGGCTTTATTAAAAAAAAAATATCGACATCTTAAAATTTTAATTTCAATTGGTGGATGGACCTGGTCAACAAATTTTGGTTCGGTTACCGCAAATCCGGTTACCAGAAAAAATTTGGTTGATTCTTTAGTTAAATTAGTTAAAGATTTTTATATTGATGGAATTGATAGTAAGTTGATTTTATTTTATTTTTTATTTTTTATTTTATTATTTTATATTCTATTTTAATTATGATATAAATATAAATATAAATATATATATATATATGTATATTTTTCAGTTGACTGGGAATATCCAAAAACTCCTCAAGAAGGAGAAAATTATGTTAAATTAGTTCGAGAACTTCGAATTGAATTAGATAATTATGCAAAGGAAATAGAAGAGAGGATACCATTCCTTATAACAGCAGCTATGCCTTGTGGACCTGATAATTATAATAAAATTCCATTAGAAGAATTTAGTAAATATGTTAATTATTTAAATTTGATGGCTTATGATTTTTCCGGATCTTGGTCTGAAATAACTGGTCATCAATCAAATTTATATGATTTTCTTGGAATCCCTTTATCGGTTAATAAAGCCGTAACTGATTATTTAAAATCTCGAGTACCTAAAAATAAAATTGTGATTGGTATTCCAATGTATGGTAGAGCATTTGAAAATACCGAAGGCATTGGTGCTAAATTTAATGGTATTGGTTCGGGTTCATTTGAACCTGGAATTTATGATTATAAAGTTTTACCACGTGATGAAAATTCCAAAGAAATATATATAGAGCAATTGGGTGCAAGTTATAGTTATAATCCTGTTACCAAAGAACTTATAACATATGATTCACCTCAAGTAATTGGTGAAAAAATTAAATTTATCAAAGACAAAAAATTAAATGGTGTAATGTTTTGGGATCTTTCTAGTGATTTATCAACCAATAATACTAGATCTTTACTTTTAAATGCTTTTAATGGTTTTAATTCATTAGAACATTTAGATGATAGTGTAAACCATTTAAATTATCCATTAAGTATTTATGATAATGTGAAGAAACAATTTAATTAATTAATTGATTTAATATTAATTTAATTACATATTATAATATTATTAATATACTTGTATTATCACTATTATTATTACTGAATAAAAATTATAAATATATTTGTATTATCATTATTATTATTACTAACTAAAAATTATATAAATTTAAATTTAAAATATTTATTTAGTTTTTTTTTTTTGTACATATATAGACTTATCTAAGATTGTTGGGAAATTTGAAATTAATTTTTTTTTTTTTGAAATAAAATAGGTGATAGCATATAAATAAATAATATAATATGTGAATATAAATATAATATACAGCAATTATTACTGTTATATATGAAACAGAAAATAAAAATAAAAATAAAAATACAGTTTAAATTAATGATTATATAAATAAAAAGTAAAATAAATATGTAATAAATAATATTGGGTTTGGGTTAATATGTTGTTTTTTAAGCATAAATAATAAAATATAAGAAATATATAAATATAGGGAATATAAGGAAGAGAAAGGGGAAATTATAAATGTAGCATATACAAAAATTAATTTTATATTAATTTTAATTTTTATTTTTTATTTTTATATTCTGAACTATATAAATTATATTATTTTATTTTTATTTTATTTTTTATATTTATCTTGTTTTATTTTTATTTATTTATTTGTTTTTATTTTTTTAATGTCCAATCGTACGACCAACTAATTTACTCGCCAATTTTGCATTTATTTTCATTTTTTCTTTGGTAATTGATTGGAATGATCCCGCGTCCATTAAATGTCTAAATCCAATTTCTTCTAAATATGATATTTGATCACCTCGCATTCTTGAACTAAATTGAGATTCCGAAACCACGGTAATCAAGATTTTATGCACCGCATCCAAGATTGGTATGGTATCACTATTCGAAACTATTTGTATCATCTTTGGTTGAAGTACATCATAACTAAAATGATGAAACAATAGAAAAAAAGAAAAGTTAAGGATATAGATATATAAATATAAATATATATGTATATTAAAAACATCATAAAAATCATAAATAAAATAATAAAATAATAATCATAAAAATCATAAAAAAATTATTTTTTAAAAAAAAAGAAAGGATACACTAAGGCAAAAACATCAGGAACTGTTTTGGCCGCTTCCGCTAAGAATCCGTACAAGAACAATTTTTCTGTTTCTGTTTCAGCATTCTGAAGTAATGTAACCATTAATGATATTAAAAGTAATGCCGTTTTATTATCTGGAATATCTAATTTGTTTATTATGGGACAATATGTTGTCGATAGTTCAACATTTTCCATTTCGGGATCTAAAATTCCACATAATAATAATATATCTTTCATCTCTCCAGTTTTGGCTGATATCGGTAAACATGCTGCTAAATATCCTAACATTGATGAATGAACTATATTTTTTTGTTTCGTCTCTAAACAACATTTAAATGATATCTCTAGGAAATATTTTAATACTGATACGGTACTTGATTTGGTCGCGGAATTTTTTAATCCTTTTAATAATGCCGCCGCTACCGCAAATGAAAAATGTTCAAAATTAATTCCATTTTCTTTATCCATCTCTTGTCCTATTTCATATAATTTTCGACGACGAAATTTTAAAAGTACTTTGGAAATACTATCTTGTGTAAAGAAATTATTACTATCCAATGATTTTAAAACTACATGTAATAAATTTACCGCACTTGGAAATATTGGTATATGTCCTATTTGAATAAGTGAAATCGCTATCCAAAATAATTCTTTAAGATATTGCGAACTTTTATTTATATTTTCAACTATTTTGGTGAGACACATCACTATACTTATTATTAATGAACAATCATTTTCGAAAAATTCTGCTAATGCTCCTTTTAATGCAACTAAAATTTGATATAAAAGGTCATCATCAACTTCTTCTCGAGCTAAACATCCTAATGCCACAAAAGCTCTAGGTTGTATAGCAGGATTATGTTGAAATGCTGTACTCGCCACAAGTCCCATCCATCGAGCTCTCCAAGCATTAGAAATATCAACTGATGGCGCTCCACATATAATAACTTCTAAAAGTGCTTGAATTACTGTTTCCAATGAACTAAGTGGCATAGTATCAGGTAGATTATGTGTAGATTCCGCAGTTATAACAAATGCGTTACCCGATGATTGATTTAATCCAAAAAAGAAATGAAAATTAGGTTCAGATAATTCCATTAATAAAATTGTTAATCGTTTATGATTTTCCGGTGCAAGTTGTTGTGCGGTACATAATGATTGGACTAAATTAACTATTAATCCATGAACTGAAGCTCTTATAAGTGGTGGTCCGGTAGCTACTAAAAGTGATATTACATGAAATAACTCTGGAAGGTATAATAAAATATATGAACGATTATTAAATGATAACATTAAATTAAATCTAATTAGTACAGCGATTTCTGTCCAAGCAGGATTTTCGGTGAGATTTTTTGTCTTTGCATTACGAGTTTCTCGAAGAACCTAATAAATAAATAAATTAAAATAAATAAATAATCAAATTTATTTATAAAGTAATGAAATATTGAAATATTAAAAATATTCTTATTGTTATATGATTTTCATACCTTACGAAGTCTGGTTATTATTTTTCCACGAATGTTAACCGATGATAATGTGACAATAGTGTTGGCTACTGTCTCTGCTTGAGTAGAAGAAATACCATGTTCAACTGCATAATTTATGAATTCATCAATTATTAAATTTGTAATTTCATCTACTCCTTTTAATGTATTCCAAACTTTTGCTTGAATCGATGTATACATCTAACCAATAATAAAATAATAATGAAAGAGAATATTATTAATTAAAATTAAGAATAGAATAGAATAGAATAATAACAAATTTAATAATACAAACTTCAGTTTCTTTGGTGGTCATATCAATCAATTTTCTTATTATTTCTCGCGTTTGTTTTACACTATTCTGATTTTCTGAAAAATCTCTACAATAGAATGAAAGATTTGCCAACCAAGGTGCCATATATTGAAGGCATAGGTGTTTTTGAGCTAAACTTGATTTATAGAAACCATCAAAGAATTCGGAAAGAAATTCTAAAGTTAGATGGGTTTCGGATATAGCAAGTTTTTCACTCATTTGAGATACAAAAGTACTATTATTTTCTGGAATGCATAAGCCTATAAAAATAAATAAAAATAAAAATAAAAATATATATTAAAAAAAAAAAAGAATATTAATATTATCAAGATGAATAATAAATGACATAACTTTAAGAATGATTTATTTATTTACCTTTGGCACTAAGTAACTGGTTCCCTACATCGAAATTAAAGATGAGACTTAAAGCAACCAATAAGTTATAAGCAGCTAATCGTAAATTGGGATCATCCGACCCGATATTAAGTAATGCCATATTCAATAATGTACCCGGAACACCGTTAGGACGAATAACTTTTTCGGTAAGGTTCGTAGGTCTAGTTATTTGATATCTTGCCTGTTTATAAAAAAAAAATCAAAATGTTTATTATTAATACTATATTCAATACAATCTCAAATGTTAATTATTTAAAAGAAATTATTTTTTACCTTGGAAGCTCGAATAGTTCGTATTATAGTATCCCTTTTATTACTTGTAAACGCAAATGGAGGTTTTCCACGATCTTGCTTGATGATAAATTCATTATCATCACTTTTATGTGATGAATTATTAACATCTTCAATTTCTGAGATATGATAAACATCATTGAGGCAACAAGATAATCCATTAAAAATTTCCTGTTTTTTTGACTACATTATTATTATATATTAAAAAAAAAAAAAAGTGAATAAAGAAAATAAAATTCCTCAAAAAATATAACAAAAAAAATTTTTTTTTAAAAAAATAATAGATTACCGTTATGATCTGAAGATATTCATTGGATATTTTCATATTCACATTAATTTGCATTCGATAATGAGAAATTCTGGATACATTGGTAAAAGTTGTACTAGTATTATCTGTATCAAGCATCATTGTTATTTTAGGAAGTCGTACATCACTTGGAGCAATATATTCATATAATTCACTTAAAGTACAACAAAATACTGTTCTTTTAGCAATTATGTGTGGTAAAGGACGTGGCCACTTTTTGATAGATCTCTTGAAAGCTGTATTCGTATTACAAAAATATAATTTGGAGAGATTTTCCACCACTTCAAATGGTAAGATTCTCATGAATTGTTCAACCCATTGTGATTGTATATCATTGGATGGTCCAAATTGTGTTAAATCAACCATAATTTCAAATGGACCACCCATACATGGTTCAAGAGTATGAAGGATATGATACATTAAAAGATCCATATCGGTAGCTTCAGATTGAAGACGATGTGCGATGTAATAAAAAACTGGTCTATTGGCTTTAGAATTTCCTCCTTCATAAAATATATCTTTTAATATATTATGATTTTCCGTCATACGATTCGCATTTCTTCTCATGAATTCTAAGTATAAATGATTATTATTTACGAATGAATGAGATGTGGTACTTAGAAATTCTTTCTTGGGAGTTTCAGATGGAGGTCCTAATTGAGCCAATAATGTGGATATTCTATCCCAAGCTAATTTATTGGCTTTCACTTGTTCGTTATCCGTATTTCCGGGTAAATTTGATTTAAGTCTCCTGGTTTGTAAAGATCTTGACATATTTTCATGATAAATATATAAAAGTCTATGTAATGATTTTCGATCTGCGTCTTCTAATAGACGAGAAGTGGGAGTTGCTTCGGCTGATTTTAATTCCGATGATGGAGTCGAAATTGGTGCTTTCTTTAAATTAAAAAATTTAATTAAATAAATAAATTCGATTAAATTAAATAAATAAAATAAAATAATTAATTAAAAATTAAATGAAAATATGTAAATAAATTTTCAAACCTACCGAAATTTCATTCAAAAATTCTTTTAATTTATTTTTATTTTCGCGCACGAAATCTTTCATCGAATCCATATAGGGTTCATTAGTCGAAGCACTATTAGCTAGACGTTGAATAATCCTTGCCACCATTAAAAAGTTTTGTCTAGTTTTAAAATTTTCTATGGGTTTGCACAAATTCTCATGATCTGGTGTCGTTATTGCGGGACTGAAAAATCTTAAAAAGATAAAAGCTCCAACTGTAGTTTCTACCATATCAGGATTCTTTTCTTTAACTACTTGAGCAGAATAGTGGCATAAAAGTTTGAAAGTTCTAGTATATGCACAAATTTGGTCACACATCGTTAATGAGAAATTTTAAAGAAAAAAAAAAAGTAAATAAAATAGATAAAAATAGAGAGATATATATATACCTTGGCATGTTATCTGCAGAATTAAAAATGGCATCTAAGAAATTATTGGTTACAAGCTTCAAATTTTCTAAGTTTTGATCAATATTTTCGCCAGGTGTAAGTCTATCTGGGTCAATCACACAGCTAAAATCACTTGGTTTTGAAATTAAATCATTAACAACGGGTTGTAATGTTTCTCTTAAATATTCACTACCATGTGCCTTCGCGAATACAGATAGTAACTTGGTAGTCATACTAGTTCTCCTGAATAAATTAGGTTCTTCTCCGTTTGCTGTAAAAATTATTTAATATAGAATAATTGATTAATATAGAACATATAATTATTATTTAACATGAATAATTGTTAATATATAGAATTAGTTAAAAATAAAAAAAAAAGAGTTCTGATCAATTTACCGAAGACACGAATTTCTTTACTAAACAAAGCTCTTAACAAATCTATGGCTTTGTTGTGAGAATCGAATACAGCTATCAACACACGTGCAACTTCATCTTCATCCGCAGGATTATGAACTTCACACAGCGATAAAGAAATATCAATATCTGAAGTAGCAATAATCTATCAAGAATAATATAAATAATATAAATCATTCAAATATTTCGAATTAAAGTTCAAAAAAAAAATATTATTATTATTATTATACCTCGACAAGCCTTTCATAACGATCTTTCATAGCGTTTTCACTTAAACCATCGAATTCAATTCCTTGATGTAAAATATTACGAAGGACTTGCATAAAAGCGGTTCTTGTTTTTGTGTCCTCATGGTAACCCATTGAAAGGGAAAATTTTAGACCAGAGTCAACATTTGCACTTAAAAGATTAGATAACGCCGAAATTGTGTAATCTTTCAATGGACCAAGATCTTTGACATATTCTTTGGACTAAAAAAAATATATATATATAATAAATCAATCAAATTTTATGATAAATTAAATAAAATCATATTAAAAATAAAACAAAACAATACCTTGGAAAGTAACATCTGTAAATCTTGATTATTTTTCGCGGAATGTGTACCACTATCAATAGCCTAATTAAAATATAAAAATAATTACAATTATTTACTTTACAACTTTTAATAAATAAATATGTGTATATTAATATATAAATATAGAAGTGTATATTAACCTCTAGAATACGGCATCGATTCAACAATCTTATGAAAAATGAAAAATATTTATAAAACATTTTCGATTTATCTTGGCTTAAATCGTGTGTGGTCTCTGTCGGCTGTAGAGGTAATTGAGCAAGTAATTCAACAATGGTTTTCAAGCATGCCGCATCTAAATCTCGATGTAATCTTTCACTTTTATTCGAAACACTTTCAACACTTCCATGATGTTCGGTTTTCTACATAAAAATATGAACAAGATAATGAATTAAGATAATGATATCGAATTAAGAATGTCTAATAAAGAAAAAAAAAAAATCAAATCACACATTATATTCTGAATTCCATTCAATGATAATTTCTAACAAAAGATTTCGTAACTTAATTTCCTGCCGTAGATTTACAAAATCTTTTTTGGTCATCAATAATTCGGCTAATCGACACATTCGTTTTTTAATTTTCAATGCATTATGACCGGACCCTAATTTATTCAAATATCTGGCAAACGATAAAACCAATCCACCAATATTACATGCGTAAAGATTATCAGATGAATCATAAATTCGTTCCAAGATTAACTTAAGAACAGAGATCGCTTGATCAACGAACAAAGTATATCTTTCATTCGGGTTCGCATCACCATCAGGATTGAAAAATCTTGATACTATGGATTCCAAATGATGGAAAAGTATCACATATAATCTTGGACTCAATTCATTACCAAGAGTTTCTTTGACATTTTCACGAACATATTGGGTTTCACAAACAAGTAAATCCACCATCTCTTGAACGTATTTTTCAACCATTGAATGATAATCATTGGTATGTAGTGTAGATATTCTACGAGAATTAGATTCTACTCCACTCATATTTCTAAACCTGTCATGAACACAACAACCTCCTAAAGCTGCAAGAAATCTTGTGTAGTAATTCCACTCAGTAGATTGAGCCTTAAATTTTCAATAAAATGATTAGTATCGTATAATAAAAAATGATTCAAATTCAAATTGAACAATGAATATATTTAATATTAAAATTCTTTACATCTGTTAAACCATTTACACTAGTTTGTTGTGGTTGCTTATGAGGAGGGATAAATGGAAAAGCACCTCTCCTTATGGTGGGAGGTTCAGTGGTAGATTCATCTGATGATCTTGTTATTATAAAGGTAAGTTTTTTCCACCTATACCATGCCTCTTCCCATGCACTAAGATTACCAGGAGTTGGTTGAACCATTGATCTTAATAATTTACGTATACGCCTTTGTTGAGCCATTTTCCCAGCAACTACTGAACCACTTGTGGATAATTCTTTATAAACATTCATATTTTCAACTATAGTCATATGTGAGGGAGTTGGTAATTCTGATGTTTCTTCCATATCATTTGCAAGATTCTCGGTAGTTAATAAGGCCTCATTATACATGTGAAAAAAACATTCTAGTGACATTGAACAAATCTCGGGATCAGATGAACACAGAAGAACTAAACAAACAGTTTCGAGTTGTATATTTGAAGTTAATCGAACAGGTACGTTGTTATATTTGAGAGGTTCGTTCTATCAATATTTAATAATAAAATATGATTCATATGATAAATAAATAATTATTAATTATAAATAATCAGACCAAAAACAAAATATGAAAATCCATTACTTTGTGAGTTCGAAGAAATTCATTACGCCGGCTTAGTAATTGTAATAATAATTCCAACATATTTTTAGTATCATTTGAATCCAAAATTTGTTTCGCGATAGCAAGAGTAATTTGAGAACTAATAGTTTCATAACAAAAAAAAATAAAAATAAAAATAAAAATAAAAATAAAATATGAGATAAAGAAATTAAATGATGATAACCAAATAAAATTCATCAATAAACCATTATTTTTACCTTATAAGCCAAAAATTTTGTAAAGGAGTGCCCCACATTTCAATGAGATCAATATTATGAAGTTCTGCCAAAGTTTCTGCTGCATATGATCGTATATAAATATCCGAATCGTTAAGGCATTCAGTAACTACCGTTATAATCATTTGATTTCCTTTTGTTGGCTCATTTTTATCATCTCCCTAAAATAATTTTAATAATTTTAATAATTTAATAATTTTAATAATTTTTACCAAATTAATAATATAATAATTTTAATAAAATAATCATAAAAGTTGAATTATCATCCAACATACCACTATAACTAATTTAGGATCAGTTCTATATAATTTTAGTAAATTTAAAATAATTTCAAAATTTTCCATTTTTTTGCGCTTATGACCTTCATTCGATCTACGAACTACCATTAAATCATTAAATAATTTTCTCAATGGTGACGCTAACATTGAATGCATCGATGAAATTCGTGGGTTCCATGGGAGACGATTTTCCTTTAAATTTTGTTAAAAGAAAGATATATATTATATATACATACATATATATATATATAGTACTTTAATATCATAAAAACCAATGTTTTTACAGACAACTCACCTCTGAAGCAATAGCATTGCAACTTTTCACAAGCACCAATTTGAAAATTCCAGGAGCATTTTCTTGTAAGCAAATAGGTACCAAAGAATGCAATGTTTTTTTTGGATTTAATCTGAATAAAGCTACCAAACAATCAATCATCAGTTGTTGATCTATGTGATTCTCATTTGGAAATGGCTTTGAAGGATCAAATAATTTCTCCTTTAAAGATCAAAAAAAAAAGTTGTGAGTTCATGAAGAATCTTGAAAAAATTAAATTCAGAAAAAATTATTCAATATTACCGTAAGTTCATTTTCAATTTCGGGGACAATCATTCTTAGAGCTAAATTTTCATTCTTGGCAACATAAGTTGAGGCCTTACAAATATCCACATAACATATAGCTGCAACATCGGCAAAACTTTTGCCTTTCAAAGATCTTTTTAACGAATCCAAAAATTGAACCTGAAATACAATTATATTTAATCAAACAATTAATAATTATAACAATTAATAATTAAGAAAAACAATTAATTTGTACAAATAATATGTACTCTATTTGTAGGTCTACTTGTTTGAGGTTCCTGTAAATTATCAACAATTCCAATTAGACTCTATAAAATGACCACAGAGAACCACAGAAAAGTACTAACTTAAACTTACTTTGATAGCATTAGCTAAAATTCCTGGACATAATATCAACAACATGGTTTGTAAAGGCCAAAAAGCAACCTTACGACGAGCACTATTATCAGTAGAATTATAACAAATATTGAAAAGTAAATCCGGATTTCCATCCATGCGTTTTTTAGACTGACAAAGTGCTACAAATTCCGCTGGAAATACTTCGATCCAATTCCATATAGCTTTTCGAAGTACAGTTGCCATGGTTATTTGTGCAGACTTTTTTAATTGCATAAATGTATTACATAACTCTATATAAATATAAATAAATAAATAAATAAATATATATATATAATAAAAAATATATAATAAAAATATATAATAAAAATTTATAATAAAAATTTATAATAAAAATATAATAATTAAACTATTAATTAAATAATAATAAAGATATTATAACGGTAATTTTAAAATGTTAGATTTTCTCAAATATAAATGTTATTTTTTTTTTTATTATAAAAAAAAAAAATACCTTGTAAAACCATTGACAACCTTTGAGAATTTAGATCGGACACTTCCAATAATTTCAATTCCGAAGTTTCAGGGTATTCTTCATTTGTATTACATAAAAATGCGATTTTTTGTCTAATTCTATTAAAAACTATGTCCCAATTTGATGCACTAATATAAAATATAACACGACCAGCGTTTTTGTAAATCTCACAGATAATATCGTAATTTGCGGCATTAAACTGAACTTGACTGTTTCCATTTGGATATGGTCTTTCTGGTCCACCATATAAATGTGAACTAATATCTTCTTGACAAGCCATTTGATGAAGAAATTTTGCTAATACTCTTAAAATGTAATCAGCTAGTTTTTCATCTAATTTTGGTGGATCATCCCATGATTTGGGTGGTTTAAATTGTTTTTGATCAGGATTAGGAGAATAAGAAGAATAAGGAGAATTTGGTGAATTGGGTGAATTTGGTGAATTGGGTGAATTGGGTGAATTGGGTGAATTGGGTGAATTGGGTGAATTAGGTGAATTAGGTGAAATGGGTGAATTGGGTGAATTGGGTGAATTAGAAGAATTGGGTGAATGAGGTGAATTAAATGAATTGAAAGAATCATGATAATTGGAAGAATTGGAAGAACTAGAAGGGGAAGTTGCTGAAAAGTCTTCGAATGATTTTACTTTTGACATTTCCATTTTCTTTTGTGTTCCTCGATAACATTTCCAATGATGTGTCATACATGCAGATAAAATCTTTAGGATAAATAATTGAGATTGTAATACTTCATATGGAACAAAGTCTTCCAAGACCATAGATGAAGGCTAAAAAAAAAATAAAATAAAAAAATTTATGAATTTATTTATTAATCTTCATATACATACATATATACATATATACATGATATCATATAAATCTCTTTCTTTTTTTTTTATATTTACCCTTGAAATATTTTCCAAAAGATTGGTGAGACTGTTGACTATTGCCTCAAGCCTATATCGAGAAAGATCAACAATTGCATTTACAGTTTGTAAAAGGAGTGGATCTAATTCCAAGACTTCCAACTTTTTTCCGCTATTACATGGTAACTATTTTTATTCAACCAGATTATCAAGATCAAGATAATGAGTTAATAAAAGAACTGTTATAGGATCATCATGTATGCTATTAATCATGCTAACCTTTGCACCGATTCTATTGATCAAAGTAAGCATTAACCTAGTATCTGCGTTCATTTCGATATTATTTTTTTTTTTTGGAATTAGAGTTTAAGTATTTATTAAGTTATTAATTACGTTAATATAAAAAATTTTTTATGTAGTCTTTATTAAATATTTTAATATACATGTATATAAATAAATATATACATATATGAAAGGAATAAACGTTAGAATATTATTGATATTATTAAATATTAATATTAATTGTTTGTAAGATAGTGGTAAAGTCAACAGGAAAAAAAAAAGGATGGAATTTTGATGAAATGTTTGGGATTAAAAAATTAAGGAAACCAAGGAGAGTAAATATAGTAATAAGAGAAAGAGAGGATTACTATATCAATGAACTATTAAACGAAAATTTTTACTTTTCGTTTCTCGACGAAAAAGAAAGAAAAGTTGGTGAGAAACAAACAAACAAAAAAAAAACCATTTAAGTAAAAAAATTATTTTGCATATTGCAAGGGAATGAAATACTTGAAATACTGAACTTTGTGAGACAGATATCAAATTGAGATCACAATTACTAAAATAATACCAAAATATTTTTATGTACACAAAGAAAGTTTCGAAACACAAAATATAAAATTGATATATTTGGATGTTTGAGTAACTTTAATATTAATTAATATATTACGTCAACCGTCGAAATTAAATTGTTTTATTTGTTAAATGAAAAAAACTTGTAAAAACAAGGTCCTAATAAATGATCTAAAAGAACGAACCTGTCTGGATTCAAGATTCAACATTCAAATCAATAATTCTAGAATTCAATCCTGATTTGATCTTTCTTATTAGATCAATCTTTAATTTGAAGGTTTAAAGACTTAGGAAGAGGAGGAGGATACACAATTTTGAGGAGTCGATGATGACCACGTCTTACTGGCCAGTATTTATTAGACAGTTATTAAACAGTTCGAAAGTTTAAAGAGGATTTAGAATGGGGAATGAATTGATTCTAAATTATCATATGCATGCATGATAAATGATAAAATGACATGCACATGATTTTTTGAGAGCATTTTGATTTTATTGCCTATTTACGATATGTGATATGTGATGTAACATATATTTTTAACTGTTTTTTCGAAATACATGGCTCTTTAAACTCATTGACCAATGCCAGTCGAAACAGAATTTAATTTTGTACCCAAAGAATCTAAAGATGTATTAAACTTTAATGAGAAAGTTGAACCAAAGAAAGATTTATATCAAACTTCCTACCAAAATAATAATAATAATATTATTATTAATAAAATTGATTCTCAATTCATAACCAAGTTATTTATCTATTTTATACAACAATTCGATATGCAACATAGACCAATAGTTCATTGTTTAATTAGAAAATATATTTTAAACTCAAAAAAAAATCCCACCAAAATATTTAAACAAATTCTTCAATGTGATCTACGAAGATATTTCACCAGTTTAATTGGATTCTGTTATGAATTTGGAATTGGTACAATAGTTGATAATAAATTAGCATACGAAATGTATATAAGTGCTACCCAAGATAATATAGAAAATAGTTTAGGATTAGATGGATTAGATGCAACTTTAAGATCAAATACAACTTTAAATGTGAACAATATTGAAACATTATTATCCCCAATATTTTTAAAATCATATAGAATAAATAATCATTTTATCGGACAATTTTGTTTATCATCAATGTTTTATTATGGGAAATATGTTAAAAAAGATGAAAAAAAATCATTTTTATTACTTTCAACTTTGGCTAAGGAAGGATCGGTTAGGGCACAGGTTACTTTAGGCGAATGTTATTATGAAGGTAGTGGAATTAAAAAAGATGAAAAAACCGCATTCAAATTAGTAGCATCTTCGGCGAAAAAAGGAAATCTTGTAGGAAAATTCTTACTTGGATATTGTTATCAAAAAGGAATTGGAGTTGAAACAGATGAAAAATTAGGATTTCAATGGTATTTAGAAGCAGCGGAAGGAGGAAATATAAATTCAATGCATCGTGTAGGAGATTGTTATTATGATGATAGAGGGACATCAAAAGATGATAAAAAAGCCTTAGAATATTTTATGAAGTCAGCAGAAGAAGGTTTAGATGTAGCATGGACAGATGTAGGATTTTGTCACTTAAATGGGGTAGGAACTGAAGGATCAATTAGAGATGAAAAGAAAGCTTTTAAATATTACTTGAAATCGGCGGAAGATGGAAATGCATATGGTCAATGTAAAGTTGGATTATGTTGCATTCATGGACTTGGGACAAAATTTAACATCGAAAAAGCTATTTATTGGTTAAATAGAGCCAAAGAAAATGGGAATGGTGACGCAGAAGGATTATTAGGTGAACTTGTTAATATGTTGATATAACTATTATTATTGTCTATTTTATATATACGCATATATATAATTATATATAATTGACTAGAATTGCATTTTACATCAGACTTTTATTTTTTTTTACAATATTTTATTTTCATAATTATTATTTTTACAATTATTTTTTTCACACTTATTTGATATAAAATGACATCTTGTGAATAATATCATTTAGTTACACTTTGATAAATTATTTTCATTTAAATTTTTCTTTAGATGTTCGATGTTATATATTTTAAGAATTTTTAGATCTAATTTCAATTTCAATTTCAGATTCAATTCATAAATGTTACATTTTGTCATATAAATTAAGTAAAATTTGTACAATTTAATCTTAATAAATGATAATGTTATTTATTATGTTATTTATTTGCCCTTTACTTAAAAAAATATTTAAAAACTTTTTATTAAATTTTTTTTTTTTTTTAATTAAAATTAATATGTGACAATTTTATAACATTCTATATAAAATCTATCATGAGTCTAAAATTATTCTCTCTATAAATAAAATCAATTAATAAAACATAAATTAATAAATATAAATTAATAAATACAAATTAATAAAATTAATTAATAAACAAAAATTAATAATAAAATTAAATGATAATTAATATCCTCAATTTTTTTAAAAATCAATTACACCTTTATAATTAAAATTTTCATACATAAAAATTATAAACATTCATTTCCCAAGATTGTCCATCTATCTTTCAACTTTAGAAAAGATTGGCTTTGCATAATTTCTTCAATATTAGGATATGCTACATAAAATCTACCTGCTATATCGGCTAAATCAACTGTATACTCTTCATTGTCTTTATTTAAAGGGATCCAAGTGAAATCATTAATTGACCTTTTCCCTTTTTCATTAAGTAATTTACCTCTAAGGAATCCATCCCCAGTAAATTGAATTCCTTTTTTGTTGTGTTCATAAATACTTGAAATTTTAAGAAATTTTGGTTCCATATTAATATTTTCAGACATTTCAGTAACGGTAGTCAATCGTACTATATCCTCAACGCAAATTAATTCTGTTCCAAATAAAATTGCATTATAGTGAGGAAATTTTTCCATTTCTTGAAGACGTTTTCTTTCCTTAGAATCCTTAATTTCAGCTAAACGACGAGATGATTCTTTATATTTATATGAATTCATTGGTGTATATGAGTCAACAATTATCTTAATTTTTTGAATTGCTTTAATATATAATTGCAAACTCATGTTTATTTCTAAAATTATTATAATATAAATATATTATTAGATAAAATTAAAAATGAAATAAAAATAAAACTTGCATTTTTTTTTTTTTTTGTATAAATTTATGTTACCTTTCGAATAATCATCTGGTATATCACGTGTACGAGTAAGCCATGGTGCTATTGTTTTCCTATCAGTATAAACTTTTTGTTTCAACATTAATAATTTAACCAAATAAACCACTTTATTAGTAATATAAGAATCATCGGAATTGCTTGTTGTATCACTCGCGGGAGATTTATTTCGAGATATATTTTGAGATATGTTTCTTTTCTCCCGTAAATATATGATTCCTGGCCAATATCTGGTTGAAATATTATCAATATTTTCTTTGGCTATTTGTTGTAGACTTTCATCATCTGTCTTGGTTAAATCAACCCAAACTATTTCACCACGTCTATAAACTGTTTGAATTACTTGTTCGGAAGAATCAAATTTTGGTTTTGATTGAACTTTTGTTCGTTTTGGTGTTTTTTGTTGGAAATTATTTGAAGCATGACGTTTTCTTGAACCACCACCACTTCCTGTACAATATTGACATGAACAAGGTTGAGATTTATCGGATACTAGCCAAAACATATGAGGTGAAAATTCATTGGTAGATCTAAATCGATACCTTCCTTAAAATTGAATAAATAAAATTTATAAATTAAATTAATTAAATTAATTAAACTAATTAATTATATTATAAAAATTATTTTAAATATAATTTAATTACCATAAAGATATCTATCATTTCTAGTTGTACCATTAGCATAGTTCTTTACATTCTGAAACAAAACGTATCCATCAGGAAATCCTGTTAAGACACAAGCCTCTAATAATAATAATAATAAAGAAATATAAAAATAGATCCTTTATATCCTTTAAAGCACAAATATTTTTAGTAGATTATACATTTACCTTCAGGTACTTTAATGTTGAAAGTTTTATATAGGTATGAGGCAAGTACTTCACCTAACTTTTTTAACCAATGTTCAGCTTTTGGATTCTCATTTCCGATTCTCTCAAAATATGATATGACTCCTTTACTATCTGAAATCGGTGGTTTAGTTTCAAAAGGAAACTCTCTTTCTCCTGGACAATCTGAATATGTAATATTTATACCACCAGGAGTAATTTCTGCGTTCATTCTTATAATATTTACTGAAGTATAAGTAGTCTTAGTAGTCTTTAATACTACAATTGCATATATTTCAAACACAGCCTTTTTTTTTCCTGTTTTAGATATTATCTATTTTTATATACAGATCTCATGATTCTATTATACATAAATGTAATCACGGATTTTATTAAAAATTTTGTTCAGCGTGACTAACATTATTGTTGAAATTGTTGAAACTTCTAAATACAAAACTTCATTTTCATTACCACATTTGTTGTTACTGTCCTCGTTGCAACACTTTTAATATTGTTCTTGCATTTATATATATATATTTTTTTGTTTTTAAATCATTTTTTTTTTTAAATTATTTGTTTTACGGTTGTAAGTTTTAAATGTAAGAAATGATACGATACGATACGATACCGATACGATACGATAAAGTATGTCATTATTAAAAGGATCGGGGGTTGATTATCCAAGTTTAAAATTCCAAATAAAGACATTTAAAATTGTTATAATGATACATATTTCAAAACTACAACTAAAATACATCATATATTCTGTAACTTCGAAAAAAACCTTTTTAGTGACTCTGGCCAAATAGACCTTTCCTTATGTAACGTTTCCCTGTTGCAGAGAGGAGCGAAAAAAACTACATACAGGTTACGAAAATAATGAAGGGGAGAAAAATCACACCATTTGTAACCGTGCACGATTAACTTTGATCACGTTATTCACGGTACAAACGCGCTACGTCACGAGCAAAAAAAATCTGATGATCGGGACCAATATTTGTACATATGGCATATTAATAACAGATAATATGTTTTTATGTATCCAATAAAAATGATCAGTGCGAAGAATTTTTTTCATGTATATGAAAATATAATAGAAATTAAAATAATTGAATTAAAGATTATAAAAAGGTAGCATTTTTTCTTTATGTAATTACTATATTATCAATTAATTTTGCTAATGTCAATAACACTAAATATTTAAAATACATCAAGAAATTCCTTGATTTCAAATGCACCTTTTCTGGTGACTTTTATTTCATAAACTCTACCCAATGATGTATGATTTCTTTGAAAATATAATTGTCCAAGTTCGCATATGTCATCTTCAGCTATTTGTGATTTATTATGAGTTCAAGTATTAGAGATACTGATGGGGCTGCAATTGTACTTCCGATATGAGATGGTCAAGTTGCATTTGTTGACAGCCGTAGCCATAGCTATCCTTGAATAACTGATTAAAACATAATTAAAAATACAATAAAATAATTTCTTTAAGATATTTCATACATACCAGCAACTACATTAGTTTTTTTGAATATTCAATTTTGTAATCCAAAGTTGTTCCATTCTACTATTAGCAGAATTGAATCAATATAATAATCATCTACTTCAAGGTCATTTTTATAGTTGCTCTCTTTTTTATCATTGAATTAGAACTTTTTTATTTATTGAATCTGTTCAATGAGTCTGACATTTTCTTGTTGAATAAATTTTCAGATTAAAATATATGTAAATTTTTGCTGAAAAAAAAATTTTTCAGATTAGACATACTTAAAAAGTATCCAATATCAAATAACACTTTGAAATTTATGTCTAAATTTGCATTAGCAACTTTCAGATATTTTGTTCAAAGAATGTTAACATCTGTAAAATGTGAATTAACAGGTGATAAATACTACAATATGTATATTGTTCAATAATATTCCATGAATGAATAAGTTAAATACAGTTTCTTTAAAAGATTCATATACTTCTTTGCAAATTAATGTTTCAGAAAATCCTGTATCTACTATAAAATGTACTTTCTTTGTCTTTTGATTGATTTTTATTGGTAAAGAAATCAAAATTCAAAGATTAGAATCAAATATAATTCAATTTGTTTTTTTTATTTCTGTTTGATAAAGATATTCAATTTTAAGTTGTTGAGAAATTTGATTACATAATCTTTGAAATAAATGTCTGATAATAATAGAACAAATATTTCAACTGAATATGTTTATATATTTTATTATGTAAAATATATATTTGTTTAAAGAAAGTTTTAAAAAAAAAATTAATAAAGTAATAACACTTTTTTTAAAAAACTTTTTTAAACTTATTTAATGAAATCAAATGATTCTAATTAATCTAGCCTTGCTAATTAATTATGTAATAAAACAAAAAATAATTATTTATTATTTGTTATATATTGTTAATAATGGAGGATTTTTATATTTTTCGACTTCGCTCGCAATTTATAAAGTACAGAGAAATTTTATACTAAGATATTTTTAATATAGAAAGAAAAGCCTTATTTTTGGCTGCAAAATTATATGTGTTTCATGCTGGTAGCATTGATATTTGTGGAGTTATTCCGGTTTAAAGAAAAACATTTGTAAAAAAATCATACAAAAATCTCTGAAAAATTTTTCTCATGATTTTTTACAAACATTTTTCTTTAAACCTGAATAACTCCACAAATATTGATGTTACTGGGATAAAACCCATATCATTTTGTAGCTAAGAATAAAGCCTTTCTTTCTATATTAGAAATATCTTAGTAAAAAATCATTCTATAATTTGCAGATCACAAGTGAAATTAAAAAAAATGTAAAAAAAATGTAAAAATTTCCAGTTTAAAATAAAAACATTTATAAAAAAATTAATATTCATGAAGTTATTCCAGTTAAAAAAAATGTTCATAAAAATCATACAAAAATCTCTGGAAAATTTTTCTTATGATGCTACCAGGTGAAACACATATCATTTTGTAGCCAAAAATAAAGTTTTCCTTCTATATTAAAAATATTTTAGTAGAAAATCACTCTACACTTTACAAATCATGAGTGAATTTGAAAAAATGAAAATCTCTGGAAATTTTTGCATTTTTTTTTATATTTTTTGATTTTACTTGTGATCTATAAATTATGAAGTGATTTTTTATTAAGGTATTTCTAAAATAAAAAGAAAGACCTTATTATTGACACAAAATAATATAGGTTTTAATCAATATTCATGAAGTTATTTTAGTTTAAAGAAAAATGTTCATAAAAAAATTATGAGAAAATTTTTTAGAGATTTTTGTATGATTTTTTTACAAACGTTTTTCTTTAAACCAAAATAACTCTATGAATATCGATATTACGAAGGTAGAACACATATTATTTTGTAGCTAAAATAAGACCTTTCTTTCTATTTTAGAAATATATTAGTGAAAAATTCCTCTATACTTTGTAAATTGCGAACAAAGTTGAAAACATAAAAAATTCTCCAAAATCCTTCATAGAAACAAAAATCCTCTATTAATTATTACCTACTAAAATTTCTTGATGTAATATTTTTAAGTAATTAATTTTTAAATGATTTAATAAATATTATTATTGAGTCATCAAAAAATAAGCTTTTATCAAGATTTATGAATTCATATTTATCAAAACTCAAGAGTCTATATTAAGTCTTGTGAACTCATATTAAGGTTCACTAGCCTATATTAAAGCTCACAAGTCATATTAAGGTTCATAAGCCCATATAAACTTGAGAGCCAAACCAAGCTCAAATTATATAAGTTTAACTCAGTCCAAACTTAACTTTTAAACCTAAATTCAAATCAAGCCAAAGTTTTTTGAAATTAATTAGGCTTGAACCTTATAGGACTCAACTGGACTTAGCCTATAGGAAGCTTTAGTTATAATTTGATACAAGTGGATTACTGGTATATTTATAATCTATACAGAATCTATACAGATCATAAATATATCAGTAATCTACTTGTATCAAATTATAATTATCTCAATACACAGGTTAAATATAATAGAATAGTACTGGTTAAAAATTTATAAATACCACACATATTAAATGCCTAATAAGTATAAAAGTAATGTACATGTTTATACACTTATCAGGTACCTAATAGGTGTAAAAAATATTTTACTACACTTATCAAGTATCCAATAAGTATATGAATATATACATTACTTTTATATTTAATTTTTATATATTTAAAAATTCTGATTTTTGATAATTTTAACTAGTGATTTTTGTTTTTGATTAGTGATAAAAGATTTTACATTTTCTTTTACAATTGAAAGTGGAAGATTTCATATTTGCTTTCATATTTAAATATTAGATTATAGTTATTCCATTGTATAATTGATTATTATATATATATATATAATACAAAATAAATATAAAAGAATAGGTGACATAAATAGAAATTCTGATTTTTGCTGATTTATAATATAGGATAAAATAAAATAATTAATTTTAGCTGGTCTATAATAGAAATTACATTTTTAATTAATCTATAATATAGAAATTATCACTCAGTATAGTAATTTTTTTTGTATTTAACTAGTATATGAATTTGTAATTAGTTACAACTTATGAAAGTAATTATAGCTAATATTTTTAAGATATATGATATATTAAATATGAATATTAAGTATATTATATATATTATTAAAAGTAAAAAGTCTTTGATCCAATTTTAATTTTTTCAATTTTCAATCATATTTGACTTAATAATTACATCAATTTATTATGTAAAAATGAAAATTTCATTTGACTTAACTCTAATTTTTTCAATTTTTAATTGTATCTAACTCAATTTAATAATTTTGATAATAGATATAGTAATTTAATAACTAGTTACAACTATTTTCTATAATACCATAATTCTGCTATAATACTGTAATGCTACTATAATACTGTAATATTATTGTAATGTTGTAATTCTGTTGTAATGTCATAATTCTGCTATAATAACTTTGGCCATAATTTATATGATTAGAAATTATTTTCTATTAAGATATTTCTATAACAAATTAAAAGTCCTAATCTTGATTACAAGATAATATATTTCTTATTCTTATAGTATCAATATTTGTAAAGATATTTGTATTTAAAATTAAATGATTGTAAAATTTCTATCATAAATTTTCAAATATATAAATTATATAATTTATACATAAAATTATGTAAAAAAATTCTGTTTTTGACTTTAGCTATAATTTATGTAATAGAGTAATTTTT